GGGGGAGGGGGCGGATATATACATACATAATGAGTGAGATGTGCACCATCTGGGGGATGGTCATGCTGGAGACTCAGACTTGTGGGGGGAGGGAGGAAAGGGCATTTATTGAAACCTTAAAATCTGTACCCCTATAATATGCCGAAATAAAAAAAATGACTATGATTGACTAAGTGCTAGCAGCCTGCCAGGAATTTTGCTAGGTTCTTCACATATATTATGTCCATTCCTCTAGCAGCCTCTGAGGTAGGTTATCTTTATCACTATTTTACAGATGAGAAAACTGAGGTTTAGGCAAGAGAAGAAATATGCCTGAAGTCTCACCGTTAGCATAAGGTAGAGCTGGGATTTGAATTCCCAAGTTGTGTTCTTTTTACCAGGCTAAACCATTGTCTCCAAGCGCCACACCAACTCCAAAGAACAAGTCTGTAAAATAATAGAGGGATATGGATTTAGATAAGTAGAAACACGCCATCGGACTGCATACCAACACATACTGTGGAATATGATTTAGCTCTAGCTTCCTGACACTGCCAGTCGCCCACTCTTCTGCTGCTATGACTGGTGGCTGTGGGAAGTCCAGGGGAAGTATGACGGAGGGCCCCAAGTCTCATGGGCTGCTATGTTCTCATTTGTCTGCAAGACCAGGACAAGGTAGTATTCTGTGATAGAATCACTGCCAATTGACATCTGCAACACTGAAATCAAATCTGCCCTTAGTTATTGTCCATTACTCATTTCAGCCACATGGAATGAGCACTTATTGAGATGTACAGCCCAATGCTAGGTCACGTGAACGGTATAATGATGAATACCATTATAACAATATTAAGCCCTTACATTTGTAAAGTGCTTTATGCTTAACAGAGAACTCTCATATACATGATCACACATAATCTTCATACACCAGTAAGAGTTAATTCATTATCCCTATTTTGCATATGGAGAAACATATATGTCCAAAGTCAGTATTTTGCACAACCAAGATGTGAACATAGAGCCTCTGTTTTCAGAAAAGTTAGCCAGTCCCTGACTCCCAAAGAGTGTCCATTCCATGAGGAAGACAGAAAAATAATTTGAATGTGAGGGAAAAAAAGTTTTTAAAATTAAAGGAAAAATCTGTTACGGAAGATGGGGAGAGGAGAGCTGAATTAAGGCACAGTGTCTGCCATTGCATTCCTCTCCCTTCTCACACTCCTTTTCCACTGAGTTGGTGGCCTTATGCTATGGAAGCCTTGGTCATAACTGAAAAGGGCCCAAACTTTCCCGGCTGGAGACACCATCTACACTGAGCAAGTGCAGACACAATGCAGCCCACAGGGGACACCAGAAAACCATCAACAGCATCTAAAATTGAGAGAACTCAGATTGCAAGACTTATAAGGAAGAGGATCAAGATCAGGCGTCCTCAAACTACGGTCCACGGGCCACATGCGAGTGTTTTTGCCCATTTGTTTTTTAAATTCAAAATAATATATGTGCAGTGTGCATAGGAATTTGTTCATAGTTTTTTTTTTTTAACTATAGTCTGGGTCTGGCCCTCCAATGGTCTGAGGGACAGTGAACTGGCCCCGTGTTTAAAAAGTTTGAGGACCCCTGATCTAGATAAAAACAGCCTCACAGTAAATTGAAAAGAAGAAGTCTGCATTCAAAACATGACCCTGTGACCCAAAGAGATCATGAGTAAATTAGTGTTGGTGAATTTGTCTGTTTATTAGACACAACTGTGAATAATTTATATCCAAGCCTTGGCAGGTGAGAGGCCATGCATCGATAGTGTGTGAACTCTGAGCAGACCTCTGGGCGGTCATCAGATGAGCAGTGAAAGATGGGCTTCTTTTGAGCCTGCTGGCTGGAGGTAGAGTGGAGACAGAATTCCTCACTCAGCTTCTTTTCTGCTCCTCTTTGCCCTTCTGTGTCTGGGGAATTGATTTCTGCATTTTCCATGGTGACTGAACCAAGTGTCAAGGCGCCAAGGGCCAAGGGTCCTTTGTCTTATGCCATGAGTACACCAACTGATATAATATCAATATTTGTTCTAATTGATTGTGGTCTATCTAATCCTCATCCTGAGATATAATGCTGACTCAAGAACAGAGCATGTGCAAGGATTTGGTGGGTTTGCCAAGCCCCTTCCCCACCTTATCTCACAAGTTGCTAACAACCCTGGGGAGAGTATTGAGCTACTTATGGGTGAGTAGCAGTGGAGTCCATTTGATTAGCAGTAACAAGTGTCAGTAATAGGTGGGCAAAGAGAACTCCAAAGACATATAGGCAAGAACAGAGGTAGTAAGTAGCAGGGTACCTTTAGCTAGTCTGGGGAGTTCTGGAGGGCAGACAGGTAAAGAACATCCAAGACATTGTGTATAGGTAGTTTATGCTTGATGTCACTGCATTTTCAGCAATTCTTTGCCTGGGTAGTTTATATCTGTCAAGACTGGCACTGCTTACTTGTACAAATGAGACTGAGTTAATATCTAGCATTCCAGAAACTGTTACCCCACCTATCAAGGGAGTCATGACTTACTATAAGTCATAGGTCCCTCTCGAGGTTGTACCATTGTCTCTAGTGGCATTCTCAACATGCTCATGAAGTCTTTCTATAGTAGCAGATGGTCCCCATGTTTTCCCACTGGCTCACTCTGGGCTTGCTAGGGTCTTTGCAATATCTCTGGGAAATCCTTTAGTGCCCTTGGTGCCAGCAGCTCCAGCAAGCACACTGCTTGCTTCTGCCATTGATCCCAAGCATGGTCATTGCCACTTTTGCTCTGGAGGCTCAGATGTGAAGGTACAAAAGCTTTACGATGGACTTTTATAACAGAGTGGAAACACAGGTCTTTGGTGAAACCATTCTTTCCATTAAAAGAAAAATCATTTAAACATAATACTTCTTGGCTACACAGGAGTGAAACCTGAGTCTTCACGAAGACTAGGTTTGGAAACAAAGGCAGAATATAGACATCATGATGTGTTAAAGATTTTACTTCACCTCTCATGTTCAAGACTGTGTCACTTGAGCAAGTGTATCTACCCTGGCTTTTCCCTCAGGCTGACTTTTCTCCCAGATGCTCTTTGCTTACACAGCCCCCAGGGTCTTCCCTCATAGCTCTATGAAGACTCCTTTTCCTAGCCCTTAATTTAAGGCTTGGCTTGGTCATTGTCCACTAGACAAGGGTCTTTAACATGGGTTTATCATCTCCCAGGGGATCCATGGATAGAATTCAGGGGGTCTGAAGATAGAAAAATTATTTGTATTTTCATTAGCCTCTAAGTGAAATTGATCATTTCCCTTAGTTACAATTGTAGTTAACTAATCCTACCAGTATTAGTAGTCTTTGTGATTTGCCACCAATAGAAAGCACAAATATCTTCAATATCACATTACAGTTGTTGCTGGTGTCTCAACATTTTTACTAAGCCCTTCACCATTTTGTAACAATAGTACTTATTAGGCTCACTGCTTGATCTTATTTCATAAGTTAATTTAAAAACATTTAAATAAAAAGCATTATATAACTATATTTCCATATGATTAATTTCCCTGTAATCCTATGCATTTTATATTGTGCATGTAAGAACATTATTTATGTAAGGAGTTAATAAGTTTCACCAGACTGCCAAAAGTATAATGGTTCAAAATAGGTTGTGAACCTGGGATTTTTCTAGTCATAGTCCTGTGTGATGCTGTGATGCTTGTGCATGTCTCTATCAAAGAACTTTCCCAGTTTCTGTAACACTCCATTAAAATACCTGTCTCAGCAACTAGACCATGTGCAGTCCAGGAAAGAGACTGGGTCATATTTGTTTGAATTCTCCATCAAAGAACTTTCCTAGTTTCTATAACACTCCATTAAAATGCCTGTCTCAGCAACTAGACCATGTGCAGTCCAGGAAAGAGACTGGGTCATATTTGTTCGAATCCTTGCAGCATCTAGAACTGTGCTCAGGCTTTGGTAGGTGATCAATAATGCTTGCTGACTGAGCTGCTAAGTTTGTAGATGAATGAACAACAGGGCTTTTCAGTAAACATGGCTGGGCCTATATTTATGATTGTATTTTTTTCTCTTCTAAAGTACTTCTCTTGGGGAGGCCACATATTTACTCCTGTTTATCTTCCCTTGTTCAGAGTATTTCTTCAATCCTCTCAAGGAGCTACCTTCTTATTTACTAAATTACTACCAAGTAATTTAGTGCATAAAGTCAATGTCAGACTAGAGCTGTGACCCACCTTGGTCACTCAAGGACTTTAAGCTCAGCTCTGAGCGACTTTTGACAATTTCAAATGGATAAATAAACATCAAAAAATAAACTCACTTTTTGAGCGTGATGATCTAGTTACTGCCACAAGTGTTAAGATGTTTCATGCTCTAAAAAGAGTTCCAGAAGAGGAACACCCAAAATGTTCTCAGTAATGGCAACTTTGTGAAAATAAGTTTGTAGTTTCTCAAAGGGATCACTTTAAGTTGGCCAAAAACTTGCATAAATGCTAATGTGTTGATTACAAAATGACTTAATTTTCTGGCTCTCTGTTTCTATCTTGCAACAATCTTGAAGACATTTCAACAGTTCCCTTCATTTTAGTAGATAAGTCCTATGCTGTACTCAGAACTGGCATTCCAAACTTCCCCAAATACATTTCAATTTTTTGTTGCAATTTCTCCTTAAATGTAAGTACTGAGAGTCTAAAACTTGGAATGAAACAATCTATTTGGTATTTTACTGTTGTGCAGCATGTATTCAAATCCCTCGATATAGAATCAGAGATTTACATAATCATGAACTCTCCAAAGGGTGAGCATTGCACAGGCTCATATTAAAGATTCTCTTCCCTAATCAGTATTCTTTTACCACATACCAGACTGGATTAGATGCATCTATGGAGAATTACAAGGATCTGGAATGATGCTCTTCCATTAATACACCTTCTTTTACATTCCTCTGGTGTTCCAAGAATGAAAGCCACAGACAAATCTTTCTTGTAATGCTGCTTTTCGTTTCAGCCACAGAGGAAACAAACAGCACAAACACCAACAAGAAATAAAGGCCCCAAGAAGGTTAACGGTAAGAAGAGTTTTCCTCATTCTTCCCTGACCCTGGGCAGATCAATTGTAAAGATCTGTCCATTGGAGATTATTAAAGCTAAATAAATTTTGTAAAAACTGTTCCTTGTGAACTCCCTAGGTTTAAAGAAAACAACATTGATTTATTTGGTTTCCAAGCCAATAAGCTGAGTGTTAATCATCTTTCACAGCAGATACATCAAAGGAGAGAAAAGACATTATACAGAAGAAAGTCGTTACAACTTGAGATGTCTCAAAATCTCATCATACATCTAAACTCCTCAGCTGCATATGTATCAATTTGGATTTTCTTATTTATATAATGAGTTGACAAGCTCCTGGGGACCACCAGAATCTGGGTCTGTTAATTATCTAATATAATTATGGCAAGAAACATCTGTGCCTTTTCTCCTGCCCCACACGAGTAGAAACACGCACTTACACAGTAGGTAAGAGATATTATTGTTACTTTTAAAAATGTATAATGTTTAATCATCCTTATTTAAGTAAAAAAATAACAAAATCTCAGAGATTTAGGTTTTTCCATTTTTTAATGTTCAATTCAATGACTCAACAATTACATACTATGTGCTTTAGATACTTCCAAATGCAGAGAATAAAACTTGAAAAGTATTTGGGCCCCTGCTTTTGTGTAGATCACAGTATAGTGGGGGGAGTAAGTATATCATATGAACTAAGTGCTATACTTGAGGCGTAGAAAGTTCTACATGGGCATGGACAAAAGAAAAATAAGTCTGCTTTGGTTTGCTTTTTACATCCTCCTTTCCTCCTAAATAGTAAACTTCCCCCTCTGTACTGGCTGGCTGGGCCTATCTTATAACAGAAGAAGGAAACATGGCAGGGCCACCAGCACCCTCCCTCAAGCCAACACCTTCTAGTTACTGCCCTTTCTCCTCCCCATCAATCTTGTACATGCATTGTCTGCACTCACTGTTTCTTCCTCCCCACATTTAATGGGCTCTGTGATGCCCAGATTCCCTTTCACGGAAGGGCTTGCATCTTGGGAGGGCTGTCAGCCCTTCAGAGATGCCTCAGCTGGAGAGAGCTGACTTGCCCTAGTTCATCTCCCTTCTGGTCTGTCCACCTTCAAGGAATGATTGAAATAGGGTACATAGGATTGGCCATCTCAGCCCATCACAGGGCTGCTTTGGAGGGCCAGGCTAGCTCCAGAGCTTCCCACGGCTTTCCTTGAGTCCAGGGTTGGATCTATGTTGTGTCTTAGTTCCTCCCTCTGTCCACTTCTGCTCTCCTTCCTTCTCCTCAGGGCTTGATCTCAAGGGTGATCCTTCATAAACATCCTGCATGTCAAACTGCATCTTATTGCCTTTGTCCCAGGGAACCCATCTGTGACATCCATAGCTCTATGCCCTTATACCTTTCACAAAGAACCTATACAATTAACCTTGTAGTGAGGTCAGTTAGAGCAATTTATTATTTTTTTGTGCTGGATTATTTGTTGCTGAAGAGAAGGGACCATTTTTTAAAATCCCTTTTAATCCTCTTGGTGCCTAGATCAGCAACATAAATACTAGTTGAGTGAATAGATGTTAGAAATCCTCTTATTATTTGTATGTTTGGACAATTCTAGATAAATAATATTGTTATTTTCCCAGGGGCCTGCAAAGGGAAATAAATTGGTCAAGATGGTTTGTAGAAATCTACAAAGTCCTTAGATAGACCAGATTGCACACGTTAGAGGATAACGCATGGGATAAAACAACTGAAATACAAAACTACACGAAGTCCATTAAGTAATCAAGTGGGAGAGCATTAGCTGCAAGCCAAAGATGCAGTAATTCAGAGGAATCTAGTAATATCTAGAAAGAGCAGAGAATGCTCCTTGGAAGTTGTGGCAGTTAATGTAGGATTTGTAGGTGTTAAAACTTCGTGTGGTAGAAAAGGAGTGGGGAGGGCATTTCTGGCGAGCATGCAATGATAGTCAATGGTGGGGAGGACCAGTCAGAACAGGCATTGTGTTTGAAGATAATAGGATCAATTTAATCAATTAGAGTTTCTTAGATGGGAAGTATGTCAATAGCAACGTACCATAGGGATGTTTGATAAAATCTTGGTAACTGTACTAGTTGTCTTTTGCTATGTAACACATTGCTCCAAAACCTAGTGGCTTAAAACAACAACAGTTTATTATCTCAGAGTTTCTGCGAGCCAGGAATCCAAGCATGGCTTAGCAGGGTCCTTGGCTTTAGGATCTTTCACAGGCTGCAATCAAGATATCAGCTGAGGCTGCAGCCATCTCAGCTTTGCACAGGGGCAGGATCTGCTTCCAAGTTTATGCAGGTGATTGTTGGCAGGATTTAGTTTCTCATAGACTGGTGAGCTGAAGGTGATCCTCCAATTTTTGCTGGCTATTGGCTGTAGGCTGCTCTTGGTTCTTTGCTATGTGATCTCTCCATCATTTGAGAAGATACATGGAGAGAAAGAATACCTACAAGATGAAAGTCATCGTCTTTTATAACCTAATTGTGGCAGTCATATTCCATCACTTTTGCTGTATTCTCACAAGTCACTAGATCCAGCCCATACATGGGTGAGGTTTCCACAAGGATGCCAATCCCAGGAGCTGGGAAGCACTGGGAGCCCTGTCAAAAGCTTCCTAGCACATGCATTACTCCTGCCCCAGTACCTTTCATGAAAGAAAGTGTGTCATCCTTAATCTCTCCCCATAATTTGTAGCTGTGCCTTACCATGAAATTGGCCGGCTTTTTCTTATCCGTGTGCCTTTTACATAGGCAGATTTCTCCTCCTGAATCTGTTTTCTTCACCCAGACAACTCTTACACCTTCCTTATGTCCCAGTCATTTGTCACTTCCTCCATGAAGCGCTCTCTATGTCCTAAGTCCTACAGGTACTATTGGTCTTTTTCTCTTCTATGCTCCCATTTTCCTGTGCAATACAGTCATCCCAGCAGGTTGTCACATTTCACTGAACTTGTGTATCTACACATGTGTTCTTCCTGCTGGATTGTCACTCCTTGATTGCAAAGATTATCTTTTAAATATTTTTTTTTAGTTTACTGAGCCTTGCACAGTGATTAGCTCAAAGTAAACTCTGTAAATGGTGCTTTTTGTATGTGTGCTGAGATCATAGGTGGTTGACAATTACACTATGTATTTTTTCCTTTTATTCTTTTGTTAGGAAAATTGCTGAGTACCTGCTATGTGCCACTCACTGTGAGAAATTCACCAATTCTCAGAAACCCCTATAAGGCAGGCATTGTTTCTCTTAGCTTCAAGACTTGGAACTTTGGGTTTAAAAGAGGTTAATTAACTTTCTTGAGTGCCTTTCTCCCCAGCCCTCTTCCAGCCAATGGAGTCATTAAAAGCAGTTCTAGTCAATGGCATGCAAGAGGAAGTCTGCTCTGTGCATTCCAGGAAAACGTTTGCTTTCATGATTAAAAATGGGCCACCTCATCTTGTTTTAATTGCAGTTGTCTTTCCTGTTCTTTTCTTTTTAGGACCTAGAGGTAATGCCTAGCTTCAGTAGACCTCTTGCAACCACAAGGCTACAAGCCGGAGACAGCAAGTGAAGCACACTCAGGAGAGAGGAGCAATTAGTCAGAGGAGCCTGGGGTCTTGATCACATCTTGAACAGCTGCACCAGTCCCAGTTTTCCTTTCTGGACTTTTAGTTATGTGGGGAAGATAACATAGAAAGATAACATAATCTCTATGTTAGGCCAAGGTGTTTTGTTTTTTTTTTTAAGTCAATTCCTAATATTGCTACCAAGTGGTGGAGTTGAGATTTAAATCTGTCTCCCTGACTCCAAATCCCATATTATTTCACTTTGCTATACTCTCTTTCCATATCACATAGTTTTAGATCAAATTCAATAATTCCAATGTGAATATAAAGCAAAACACCAAATGACACAAAAAAGGAGACAGCCATATTCTAGAGTTAGGTGATAAGCTGTGCCTTGTCTGCTCAGGTTTTCCGATGGGTAGGATAAATTTAGCAGTGGTGGAATGATCAGCGACGGCTTCATGGATGGGGAAGCCTGCATGCTAAGCCTCAATGATTAGGTAGAACTTAGATTCTCGGAGAGGAGATGGCACAAGGTGATGCCATCTAGAGTCATCTAGAAAAGAGACTGGCATCATTGGTGAAGGGGAATCATGAGAACATTTTCCCTCTCACTCTCCTCTCTTTACCTTGATGATGTTCAGTTAGAAAATCCACTGGACTTCTTCTTTTTAATTCTTTGGCAAAGAGTTTGAGAAGTGAATGCATCATAATTGGTAAAGGTCAAAAAGTAGGAACAGGTGGAAGAAGGAAGTGTCCTCTGGCAACCAACAGCACTGTTGATGTAAGATAGGCAGTGGAGACAACTTGAGATGGGTGGGTCACGGTAGGTTCCTTTTTGTCTTCTCATTGATTTCTCACATGCACTGGGTGAAAGCTCCCCTGTTCTTACACCAAGATGTGATGCTGCTGTCAGGAAGGCCCATGGCAATCCTAAGAATTAGGCACAAGTTTTGACAAGTGGTGAGTGAGTGCCAGCATGTTGAGCTACTTGAAGAGCTTTTAAAATAACTACCTTAAATTTATTTGATGTGTCTGAAGAGATTTGGCATCCAGCAGAGTCTTCACTGGCTTCACTGCTTCCTTTTGGAATCATAAATTTCTTCTGAGGGTGCACTGGAGGGACAGGGAGTAGTCTTCAGCTCCTTCTCCATTTCCTAAATCAATTATTTTCCCGAACAGATAAGAGCTGAGTACAGTATCACTGTCTTTAGATGGCCTTGTCAAAAAGACCTGCCAAAATCAAGTGCATTTAAGACGTGTCCTCAAAACTTTTGTAACTTTATATACACATTTACATGGAAATGTTTAGCTAATTCTTAAAATGTTTATAAACTGGTTATTCATGTTTTATAGAATGAACAAACTTAGCTATAAGTGGTCTCCTGAACGGTATTTAGAACTAATTTTCCTGTAGTACATTTTGCCTTGATATAAGTGTTATTTGGGTTTTCCCTAAATTGCTTTTATGTCACAATTCCATGTACTACCTAAAAATACCAGAGTAAGAGTCTTATTTTTAGACTAAGCTGTGTTGACTGTTGAAATTAAAACAAGCTGGAAAACTAGAGAGACAAAGGCACACAGGTAAGAAGCAACATGACATCTTAGGGGAAATTCAAGCAGTTTTCATTATTAATAACTGGTATTTTGTAATATGTCTAGTGCTGATAGCTAATGATTTTGTTTCATTCTATTTATCATATCTGTGGATGATCCAATGGAGGATTATCCATAGACAGTCCCTGTTCTCTCAGAGGTGTCAGGATAAGCATCACCGTTTTAGTCTGGTTTTCTCAGTATTGCTCAGAGGAATTACACAGGAGGAAACTGTAATTCTCATTCTGTCTTCTGACAGTATTTACCTGCTGCTGCAGGGCAACATATTTACTCATTTGTGCATGTGTTCCATCAGTGCTTCTCAAACAGCTACTCTGTGCCAGGCACTGTGCTAGGCCCTAAGGGTACCTGGATGAATAAGTCACAGAGGCTACCTTGGAGGAATTCACCATCTAGTGGAGGAGACAAAACTTGAATGCAAATATCGACAACAGCAGTTGGCATTGAGATAATTAATGAAAACCACTTAGCCCAGTATGTGGAGCCTAGAAGGCACTCAGTAAGTGATAGTTGTTTTTAAGAACTATTAGGTTCATAGGCGGAAGCAACACATCTATCTGTGGAGCATCATGGAAGGCTTCCTGTTAAAAGTGATTTTTTTCCTCTGAACCTCACTTTCCATTCATACAAAACAATGGGATTTAGACTAAACTCCCAGTGACCTCAGAGAGTATTTCCTGCTATACCAATCTACAGATATGGTATGGTTTAGGGTGGAAAGAGTGGTGGTGCACAGTAAAGGGTTCATTCATCAGCCCTGTGTCCCCCAAATCCTGCATATTCTGAAGATCTTCAGAACTGACCCTCAATAATCTCCCAGAAAAACACCTCTGAGTCCTTGGAATACCTGCCTAGTAAGAGTGTCTTTGGATACCTGAGGCCTTGGACCATATGTTTGTGCTTATGATCTTATCCGTGTTGAATGCTTATTTTTGTGTGCCTGGGCTTTGGGCTATACAGTATCAATTTGACATCTGGGAGGCTGAAGTCTGAGTAGCTGAGGTCAGTCACACAGATGCTCTATCCATATGTGACTAATCCCCCGATAAAAATCCTGGGCACCAAGTCTTGGGTGAGATTCCCTAGTTGAAAATACTCTATACATATTGCCACATATCATTGCTGGGAGTATTAAATTCCCAGTTGTGGCCACACAACTTCACTGAGAGAGGACAACTAGAATTGTGTACCTAATCTCTCCTGGACTCCATGCAATAAACCTTCTTCCTTTGCCAATTTGAATCTGTATTGTTCCACTGTAATAAACTATGTAACCATGATTATAACCATTTTTGTGAGTTCTGTGAGTCTTTCTAGGAAATCACTGAACTTGAATGTGATCTTGGAGAGCCCAAACACAGGTGAGGAGCTTTTTTTCACAAAGCCTTCTCTGCTTCCTTCAGTCCAAGTTGTCCTCTGCTTCTAGGCTGCTGTAGAATTTACAGCATAATCTGAAGCACACACATGAGTTAATATCAATGTCCAGTTATTTAGCTGACTCATGACTGGGTGCTCTGTCTATCAGCCAGACTCCTAATTCTGACAAGGCCCTGCTCACATCTTACACCGCCCACAGATCCCACGCAGCCAGGGTTGCGCACACAGCATGCTCTCACTGCATACTTGCTGCAATAAAGTGAATTGTCTGGTTGTAGAGGAAGAGGAAAAGGAGGAGGTGGGGGAAGAGGAAAAGAAATAATGGGATTCTTGCGGCTAATCCACTAGACATGTTAAGGAAGAATAAACTAAGACCTTCATCTTGGTACAGGAGGAACAGATTGGAAAGTAAAAAATCAAGGGAGATTAAACAAATATGAGAAGGAATCATCCACCTAGAACAGACACAAGGACAACAAATAAGAAATCTGTAGCAGAGATTACACAATTATGTTGGAAATTGCAGGATGAAGGGGAGACCAGAGGAACAAAGTAAGATAACAGTAAGCTGAGTCCTGGGAGAGGCAGGTGTTCAATAAACCAGATACAGGAAAGGCCTCTGTTTCCAAAGATTAGTAGAGATGAGATCGAGACAATGCATGAAAGCATGATAAACATGAATTTTCTTGGGGCCTCTCTGGCTTTGGTTTTCTTGGGCATGCTAATGCTGTGAATGAGATGGAAATTGATTAACCAGGGGTAGAAGGAGGAAAGGGGGTCCTTGGTGGGTACACACACTAGTGAGATCAGGTTTAGAGGACCCAGACCCAAAGTAGTCCAAGAATAGATTGAGAGAGGGTCTTCCTTTGCCTGCAGACGCTATGTCATTGCCACAGATCTCCTGTGTATGTATCTGATCCCACTGGCCTGAAAGGACTCAAGAAGTTAAGGAACTAAAGGATCAGCACTTTTTTTCTTTACTGAAAAGTCCCCCCCTAAGCTAGCATCGATGCCCTTCTCCCACTCAGTCAGCTCAGGTCTACAAGAGCTCAGTGGTGTTGACTGTGTGTATGATGTCAGACCACAGAGAGCAGACCGTGTCAGCACCCTGGACAAAGCTCTCGACCTTCCCCAGAGGGTGGCTGCAGACAGGTCCCCTACACCATCTCTCTGCCTCAGGGTACTGTCCTGCAGCGGCATGCTTGGTCAGCTCATGGGGCGTTAACTCCCAGGAGCAATGCTTAACTAAGGAGGGGTTCAAGTTGGTAAATGAACACCCCAGCTCCCTTGACCCTCAGTGGGACAGTTATGTGGTGGGTTTCACAGGGTTTGTCAAAGGGTCCCCAGTGTAGCACACCCCAACTGCCCAGTGTGGCAACCTGCACATTAGCACTTCTTGCCCTGTTATTTCTACTTCCTTCCTTGTCTCATTCAACATCCCTCACGGTGATTCCTGGGATCACTTTCCAAATGAACCACTTGTACTCTAATCCCTCCCTCAAGAACTATTTTTAGGAGAAACACAAGCTAAGCCACACCATATCAGGCATGAACAAGAACAGAAAGAAAATTGAACATTTATTGAGTGCCTTCTATAGCTAATGGCTTCATAGGCATCACTCTGTCTTATCCACACTACAACATGTTGAGGTAGGTATTGTTATTACCCTTATTTTACAAATGAGGAAACAGAGGTTCAGAGAGATGAAATAACTTGGCTCAGAGCACCAAGTAGGTGGTGGAAGAGCCGGGGGTCAAATGCAATCCTAACTCCAAATCACATCTCTTATGACTGCATCACATGGCATCTCTGATTAGTAGTGCCACTGAAAAATAGGTGTGGCAGGGGGGTTCAGGGTGGATGAGAGGCAAAGACATGAGACCCTAGAAAGCAGCAGTTCAGAGACTTCTACACTAAGCCAGGTAGAAGACCTGAAAAGCTGCATTGGCCATGTCATGAAAGCATTCAGGGAAGAGACGAACACACAAAGATTGGAAAGGCAGGAATGTCCAGAACCTGGTAACACACACATGTGGAAAGGAAGGAAAAGAATCTTTAAACCTCTTTTAAAATGTTTCATTCTTTTAAGAGGGAGTCGAAGCACTATTCCCAGATGGGATACCGTATCTGTCTCCTGTGATCCTGAGGAATCTACAGAGAAGAGATTTTCCAGACAAACAGGACAGGATTGGCATTATCAGATGATTGAATGCTCCTCTGCCAGTCTCTCCACTGCACTGTTGGAGCCTCACCTAAAGTGTATCTTCAATAAAGTATGAAAACAGATCATTCAGGACTCAGAGCGCTTTCTTCAGAGATGGAAACTGTGTAGGGTTGGGGACCCCATCTGGACACTAACTTGAAGAGCCCCTTCAGTTCTCATCACGTGCTGACAGAGATCAGCAGTGGTGCCACGTCTGTTGCAAAATGGGTCTGATAAAAGAGGTGCGAGTCTGCCCACCAACCCTTGCATTCTCAGAGCTTAGAGGACAGCCAAGGATGCCATCTACAGTCAAGGGACACAGCAATCTGAGGCTGACCCAGGCTTACATTAATATCCAGAGATGCTGAAGAGCCAGCAGGCATGAAGTATCGTCCTGGCTCTGACATGAATGAGCTTGGAAGCCAGAAGCTGGCCCTTAACCGCTCATGCCTTTGGCTTCCTCTTTTTTAAATGAATGTAAATGATTTGGATTAAATCATCTGATCTCAAAAGTCTCTCCCAAATACCAGCCCCTATGAGTTCTTCAGGGACTATGCAAGTAAAGGAGTCTTTCAAATAGTGAGTAATTGAAACAATAACCATAGGATTTAAAGCAAGAACTGTGCCATTTATTCTCCAACCAAAGGACAACTATGTATTAAACACTGAGGAAGAAACCCATCTCTGCCACAGCATCCCATATTTCACTCAGAAATTAAAATTAAAGCTCTCTTGATAGACAGAGGCTGAACATAAGGCAGGACATGGCAATGATATGATAGTGCCAGCCCAGGAATCCTGCATCACTGACCCCAAGACAGTGTTTTTGTCTTAGACACTGTACACAGCATGGAATAGTGAGAACTGGGGGTGGAGAAGAACTCGTTATGGGTAGCTGTCACAAACACATTCTGCTAAAATAGTTCAGACCCTAATGTGTGTCTGTAAATGCTTTCATTCATTTGAAATTTTACCTATCATTAAGTTTATTTTAGTTCATTTACCTTTATTTACCATTAGTTTATCTGACCTGTCATTAAGCTCTCAACAAGATTCAAAACACCAACTGGGGGGTAGAGCCACTTGAAGCTCTGACTCAGGTGGGGCAGAGGCAATATATGTAACCTAAACATGTGTACCCTCGTAATATGCTGAAATAAAATAAATAAATAAATAAAATTCTGATTTGATTATTCTTAAAAAAAAAAATCCAAAACAATGTGTCAGTACTGCAAAGCCTCCGTAGCTAGGCTTGCTGGGATACTGGCATCATAAGCCAGAGAACGAGAAGGAGCCAGGACTGCAGAGGAGTTCCATGAAAGAACTGACCAGCCACCGAGCCACTCCTCATCAGGACTGGGAATCACCTGGTCAACACATGTGCAAAAATTACCTGAACATAGCTGCAAATACAGTAGTTGTTGGAATATAAGCTTCACTAAGACCTGTCCAATGAATTGGATAAGGATGTAGATGCCCATGGAAAATATTCTAGGTCAAGGGGATAACTATTACCCCTAGATGTTATGTCTATTTCAGAACAGGATGTTAGCCAGCAGTGGAGAAATAAGGGCTCCGGGAAGGGACCTGACAAAACTTCTGTAGGCAAAATGTCAAGAATCTGCCACATATGGAAGGTGTGAAGAAAGGGCGCCGATTGCAGCAATGCAATTGCATAGAAGCCAAGAGCCTGAGTTTGACAAATGAGCAAATGTAGTGTCACATGGATAAAGGACAACTCCTAGGTTAGACTCACGGCACCAAGACAATTGCTGCTAATCTTGCTGATTCCTTACCAACCTTAGCAGGTCCCTTGCCATGAACCTGAGAAAGAATAAAGGTTGAAAAATCAGATAACTGCCCACTCTCCACTCCGCTCCATTTTAGGCAGTAAAATTTCAGCTGGGACACCTGTCACTTACCCTCAACACTATAGTGTTCTTTCCTTTATAAAGGGTATAATACCTAAGTGCAGGGTAAAGACCCAAGACAGCTATTCTATAAGTAAAATGGGAGTCCTTTATTGTTCAGTATGTTCTCATATGAGATGTAATATGAGACTGAACAGTTCATTCATTAATTACTTCATTGTTATATATTTTTTATCATCTCTTATCTCTTATGAACTTTGCTGGATATCTTATAACCTTGCAGATGAAAAATAATTATAAAAATAGTAGCTACTATTTATTGAGTGTATATTCTATGCTAGACTCTGTGCTAACATATTTATATTGTCTTTTTCAAGCCCCACAACAAAACCATAAAATAGAAAACATTTTTCCCATTTTATATGTGAGTAAACTGAGGCTTGGATTGTGTAGTAATTTGCTTGACATCACAAAGATAATAAGCAGCAGAGTGATGTACAAATCCCACCCCTTTGACTACCTGGTACTTTCCTACTTTGCTGCCTTATATAAATTATTGTTCTGAAAATGGTACAAATACATAAAAATTCATCACATATCTAAAACTGTAATATTTCTTAAGAAAGAAATAACATCTATGCTTCAGATATTTTTGGATGACTGATGATTTTAACATATAAGCTACAAATGAAGAGAGGGAGTTATTGAGGAAAAATTCTCAATCAAAATTCTAACCTAGGACTTTCATTGGCAAAAACCAATGTGATTTCAATGAAATGGACAATAAGGAATGTAAGAAGGATTTGATGTGGGATTTAAATGGACAAAACAGTGCATTCTGAATCTGTACTTAACTTCAAAGAACAAATTGTCAATCAGAGTCCAATTCCAAAAACGTGTGAAAGAAAGTTGAAATGCCATCTCAACAAATCCATAGAAACTGACATGTCCTTTTGAGAACAATCATCACAGTACAAATCCCAGAGGATATAAGAGCCCAGAAATGTAAATCTTAATGTCACCGGGACATTTATACTTTGCAAAAGTCATCTCTAAAGAACTGCCCCCAAAATGACAGAATGATACTTGGAAAAGTGAAGGTCAAACTTCATCTCTCAATCCTGGATATTTTCAAGACATAGGAGGTTAAAAGGTATGCAGACCATAATAGCATGAAGAAGGGGACTAGAGTTCTGTCCTGATCTACTTGTCCTTAAAGCTACACAGCCCAGGTCAAAGAAAGACACCAAGGAACTTACCTAAAGAACAATTCTGAGCTATTAAAAATATCTTCCTGGACCATTGTTCTCCAAAGACCAGTGTTTGTGAGCCATTGATACAGAAAGAAGGACAAGAATAGAAGTAAGTGATTTAAGTATAGACCATGACATCTACATTTTCATATATACAGGATGTCATGAAAATTAGTCATTCTTCTCTGTGCTTGGGTACCCAATCCTTAAAATGATTTGATGATGTGAAGGCTGCCAAATTCACAAAGTTTCCAAGTAAAATAGAATAAGTAAAATATATTCTAAAATAATGGTTTTTCCACTTGACCATGTTGTATAATTATTTTGATGTGTTGTTGAAGTCAACTTGCTAATATTTTATTGAGGATTTTTGCATCAATGTTAATCAGAGATATTGATCTGTAGTTTTCTTTCCTTTTAGTGTCTTTGTCTGGCTTGGGAGTCAAGATGATGGTGGCCTTATAAAATGTGTTTGGAAGTATTCCCTCCAGCTGTATTATTTGGAAGAGTTTAAAAATATTAGTATTAATTCCTCTTTGAAGGTTTGGTAGAATTTGCTGTAAAGTCCTTTGGTCCTAGACTTTTCTTTGTTGGAAGGTTTTTAATTACTACTTTAATCTCTTCATTTGTTATTATTGATCTATTCAGGCTTTCTATTTCTTCCTGATTCAACCTTGGTAGGTGACATTTTTCTAGGAATTCATCCATTTCCTCTACATTATCTTATTTGACACCATATAATTGTACACAACACAGATGATCCTCAACTTATGATGGCATTACATTTCAATAAACCCATCTAAGTAAAAAATATCATAAGTCTAAAATGCATGTAATACCCTGAAAACCCCATCATAAAGTCAAAAGATCATAAGTTGAACCATCAGAAGTCCATAAGTCCCTTAGGATCCTTTTTATTCTGAGGCTGGTTTAACATATATAAATCAATCAATGTGATATATGAACTGACTGGAAGGCAAAAATCACATGGTCAATAGAACCTTATTCGGTTCTTTTGGTGAGATCATGTTTTCCTGGATGTTCTTGATGCTTGTAGATGTTCATTAATGTCCGGCCATTGAAGAGTTAGGTGTTTATTTTAATCTTTGCAGTCAGGCTTGTTTGAACCTGTCGTTCTTGAGAAGTCTTTTCAGATATTCAAAGGGAATCAAGTGTTGTGATGTTTGGTCACTGCAGCCATATCACTACTGGGGGTGCCCCAAGCCCAGTAATGCTCCTCAGGATGAGCTGGTAGGTAGCTGGCTGCCATACTCGTGGCCTTCTAAATGCCAGAATCTGGAGGTTTGGCTCTGAGATACCCAAGTTCACAATGTCTTTAGAGGCTCAAGTTTGTTTGTCTGTTTGTTTGTTTTTCCTGGGGGCTAACTGTGCCACCGCTGAGCCCTCCAAATGTAGAAAGGGAGTATAGCCAGGTCAACTGTCCTATCACAGGCTTTTCCTGAACCTCCCAGCCTCCAGCCACATGCCCTCCTCCTCCTTGCCTCCATACCATTTCCAGGGTCTCTCCAGAGTTCATCACACCAGCTCTGTTCTTGGTGGGTGTCCCGCCCCCAGCCCTTATTCCAGCAGAGGATTGTTTGGCCTAGTGCATTAGTCATCACCTTCCTACTGACTCTTGTTTTCAAGAGATGCATCATAATGTCTTGTCTTCTAAGGACCTCCTTCCATTCTCTTCATTTTTGGGAATTTATACCTCTTTTGCCCTTTATTCTCATTTTAATGTGACTTCAGGAGGTAAAATTAAATACATGTGGTCAATCTACTCTTTGATCTAAGAGTTTCATTGCTGAATTTTAAAATTCATGTACATGAAGGGAGGGAATGGTGTAAAATGTATAAAAGTGTATCAATTGAAAAATAAGAGTTTTCCACCATAAAACCTTTTTTCTTCATTCAATTACATTTTCCAAAAATAT